TTTTGGCTGGACTCCCAGCTTGGCTAGGCTGGTCAAGCTGGTTTTAGCCTGTCATCTCTCAGGCTGAGGAGCTAAGACCAGGCTGGAAATGGCTGGAAACCAGCCTGGAAGTGGCCAAAACCCCTCTAAAACCAGCCTGGTTGACCAGCTAAAACCAGCCAACCAGCCTAGGCTGGTTTAAGCTGGATTTTTCAGCAGGGTCGTAGCTTGAAACAGATAAAATGTAAAGTTCAGTAAAGTTAGCAACAGATTCGCATCTTCTGGATCAATAACTCGTGTAATTATGAATTATTCCCTATTAGTATGACTAAGTTACTAACGTTATGGCGAAGGCTTAAACGGAGCATTACCCATAATACCGAGCGAAGAAAAGGGATAAGACCACTGTGAAACAGAACCTGCTTTGTGTTTTTGTAGGAAACACAGTTTAGATCTGTTTAGGTGTGTGAGTTATTGCTGTCGGTCTATCACTGAATGTGTCAGGAATATCAAAACAAAACCAACTTATCTCCGCTCCTTCAGCGCCCCTCACACAGCTTGTTCCACGCTGGCATTTCTCCTCTTGGGTTATAGGTTTGAAAAGGGAAAAAAAATCCACCATCCCATCCAAACTTTAAGGATACCGGGTATCAGATTTGCACAATCCATACGCACTCGCTCGAAAGCTTGACAGAGCCCCTGCGAGTAGCTACAGTTGCTAAGCCACGATTGGTGGGTGGCGGTTTTTGGGCGTGGCTTGGCGAAGGGTCAATTCAATCACAGTCATCTTCTGCCTGAATCTTTACTCTGCACCTCAACTCACCCATTTCAAAGCTGCCATCAATGAAACCAACGGTGGAGCTCGGGATCTCAAACCGCCTCTCAATCTGAGTGATGGTGCTTTTGGTGTAAGACCCCGTCAGGGATTTAGAGAAGTAACAGAAGGCGAGTGCGCCGATAAACATCTTTTTAGAAACAAAGATAGCAGAAAGAGTATTACTCCACTAAAGGTATTATAGGGTGCTTTCACATCTGTAGTTCGCTTCATTTGGGCCGGACCAAGAGCAATAAATGATACATTGTTGCATCTTCTGCCGTCTTTGGGTCGTTTTCACACCACACTGCTGGCTTTGTTCCGAACCAGTTGAAACGAACCAAAAAGCAGTCATGTGACAAAATCCACATCTCTCATTGGCCAGATGTTGTTGAACATATTTCCTAAACTGCTTATTGATTGGTCAGAATTCACGTGCGGGAAAATGCCAGTGAACTCCCGCAGGTAAACAAAACCTTTTACTCTGGAGGGACGACTGCGCTGGCTGATTGTATCCCTGCTTTAGACAAACTATACATTACGAAAATGAAGCGCGGCCGAGGCTGGAAAACAGTGTTTAATGCATCGCTCGTCACTTCAGGAGGAGACGTGAATTAATTAAGCTAAACTGCAACATGGTCATCTTGCGGAAATATTACCAACGATCCATCAGGTAATGTTTTCCCCCTCTCTGTTGGTAAAGCCCTGTCAACAAATATTTTTCCTCCATATTCCATAATGCACAGCGCATCGGCCTACGGCAGCTGAATTACTCCATAACGTGCAGTACTTTTAGCGGTTGGACCTGTTTTAGTAAGGATCATATTCTCACCACAAACGAACCGCTCCAGGGATCATTTGAAAGCGTACCGAGACCACCTCTTCAAGCAGGTCTCGGTACGCTTATTTGGTCCGCTTTTGGTGCGCACTCCAGTACGATTGCTGCATTCTCACCTGCCCAAACGAACCGCACCAAAAGGGAAAACGAACTCTAGTTCGATTCAATCGAACTAAATAAGGCAGGTGTTAAAGCACCCATAATCAAATCAAGTGATCAGCTAATAGTAATTTAAGACTTGCGGTCTTGCCTTCAGACTTGTGGAGCAGCATTTGTTTTGAGATGTTTTCTGATTTCTGCCTGAATATTCCATCCCATTTGTGCTGCCTTCCATGATGAACGATTAGCCAGGAAAAAGGACCAATGCTAAAAGACAAATCTGAAAAGCAAAAAGTTTAAAATTCAATCATTTAGTCTGCTAAAAAAATATGATTATAATTAATTAAAAAATAAATAATGGATTATATTTAAAGTAATTATTATATAAAAAGGCATCCCTTTTAAAACATGTCAAAATATTTAACTGAACGGAAAAAAAAATCATGAATAAAATCCTCGTTTCACGTTTTTTTGAACAATACTCACAAGTCGTCTTCACATTGAGGGGAAGTCCTGAAGGCACCTTTATATTCGCCTACACCTGTTGTACTAACGATCATATACAATATAGTAATACTTTAACCCTATTTATGTCCGAGGAGGACAATGTATATGTATGCATTTTTAGAAGTGGACATTTCTAGATGCTAAATATATTCTTGGACAAAGATATGCGCTAAACTATAAAGCTTAAAAATGGCTTGACTCAACACTTTGTCGGTTAGAATGTGGATGCCTGTCCGTTGTCCCTTCTATTGTGTGTATTTATGTGGCACAATCTACCGAGAAAATGAACTTTACACAGATATACCAGTAATGCATGATTGGATTAAGCGCATTAATCAAACATCAACCAGCAAAAACTCAATGACACCAATGACAGCTCGAGGCTACAGCGCTCAAGAGCTATCTCAGCCCTTAACTTGCAGTTAATAAGTGGTAAATTATGGCAATGAAATCACTTTCCTGGAAATAATTGCTAAAGCTAGCAAAAAAAAAACATCAAGGATGATCATTTGGCCAACCCAGGACTAATCCTTATTGGAAGATCCACTACCACATAATATTAAATAATCACGTTATTTCGATTTTTTAAAATGTAGTAACATTTTGGCTGTGTGTAACTATCCACATCTACTTCGCAATCGTAAAAAAATCCGTTTATCAAACTTGTATAAAAATAAATGTTACATTTTTGAATGGCAATCAATACAAATCATTGTGCTCTTCCTATTAAATTAGGTGCTGTGGTGATAATCGGATTTATAACAAATATTAACATCAATATTTTGGTATTGATATTAATATTTTAGCCTCGCAAGAGGGCACCAATTAAGATTAGATTTTTTTGTCTTGTTTCTAGTCTAAATATCTAAAAATTCCTAAATCAAGAGGAATTTTCTAGATAAGCAGAACATATTGTCTTGTTTTGAGAAATAATCTGCTAATATTAAGTGAGTTTTTCTTTAAAACAAGCGAAATAATCTGCCAATGGCATAAGCAAAATATTCTTGTTTTTCCTTTTGACATAAGATTAATTTGCTTGTTTTAATGAAAAACTCACTTAATATTAGCAGATTATTTCTCAAAACAAGACGATATGTTTTGCTTTTCTAGAAAATTCTTCTTGATTTGAGAATCTTTAGATTTTTGAACTTGAAACGAGACAAAACATCTAAGAAAGAAAAGCATTTTTTGCAATGTAACTGGTAAATAACTCCTTTTAAACGGGGCGCCAGACAGCTTCGACTGCCAAAATAATATACAGCATAGTTAACGATAAAATGTTGTTCATTGAATTATACAAACGTAAAGATGTTTATCATCTGGCCAAATCTGAAGGATATTAAATGTGTATTTGTATTCAAAAGACTAAACAAGGGTAGCTAAAATGACCGAATGTACAATAAATGAAATGCACTTTAAGTCATGAAGGTGATCAATCTTTTTTTAAAGATACACTAGAGTCTGATAAGTTAGACCTGATTTTAAAATAAGAAAAGCTGAGGAAGATTTTGTTAGTAATAAATATGAGTTATAAACATCTTATTAACTAGGGTATTTTATAATAAAACACACTATGCCAAGGTCTCTCTTAGAGGGTTGGAAAGTGGTATATTTACGTTTCTGCCGTTGACGCAGGGGTTGAAAGAAGTCGGATCTTCTTGCAGGTCTTGAAGCAGGGGAATGAACAGGCTCTCTTGAGCTTTGGGTTATTGACAGCTGATATTAAACAGTCCATTTGCATTCTGTTCTAGCGCAGTGAGCCAATAAGAAGAGCTTGAAGGCGGGGCAAGTACTGTGGGCTTTGTTTACTGCAAGTTGACACGTCAACTGTTCTGAACCATTCCTGAGCGCTGCGTTTGGTGTTTTTAGGTGCAAAGATGCTTAATGCCTCCTAATTCTGCTGTAAAAAACTGGTCACATGACATTAATTTTATGCACTCCCAAATATATTTTGACATCGTATAGATACAATTTTGGGCGCATATGCGACCAAACCGGTCGCAATTTCAAGCTCTGTCTCATATCCACAGCTTGTTCCCTAATGCCAGACCCACTGTTGGTTATAGGAGGATTACATTAACGTTATAGCCATTTTGCGAGCTAGTGCAACATTTGCCTGACTGGAGTAGTGTTTGGAGGTGGGCATGTTGCCTGTCACATCATTTGGGATGCCTTCCCTGCTGAAAAATCCAGCTTAAACCAGCCTAGGCTGGTTGGCTGGTTTTAGCTGGTCAACCAGGCTGGTTTTAGAGGGGTTTTGGCCACTTCCAGGCTGGTTTCCAGCCATTTCCAGCCTGGTCTTAGCTGATCGGGCTGCGAGATGACCAGCTAAAACCAGCTTGACCAGCCTAGCCAAGCTGGGATCCAGCCAAAACCAGCTATATCCAGCTTAAACCAGGCTGGTCAAGCTGGTTTTAGCTGAATTTGGCTGGTCATTCTCCAGCCCGACCAGCTAAAACCAGGCTGGAAATGGCTGGAAACCAGCCTGGAAATGGCCAAAACCCCTCTAAAACCAGGCTGGTCAACCAGCTAAAACCAGCCAACCAGCCTAGGCTGGTTTAAGCTGGATTCTTCAGCAGGGTTGTTGAGCGTTGTTGCACTGGAAACAAGGACAGATGGTCTCTGTCTCAATTGCCACTTTTCTGCTTAGATGAGCAACTCCACCGATGTGCAGCTCCACTAGTCCCAAACAAGCAAGCCAAAGGCGACAGCGGCGATTTACCAATTGACGGAAGAGAAGAGTGAACCTTGCAGTTCTCCTCTGGCCAAACCTCCTGAGCAAATCTGCAGTCTGGACATCGGATGCTTAGGAATGGTGAGTTCTGTTGTGATGGAGATCATGCAAGTCCAAGTAGACATTAGCGGGTGTTCAGACTAGCAAAAGGGATACAGGCCAGGTCGATGGACATAAGGAAAACAGGCAGACTAACATTATCACATAATCTCTGGAGAGCGATCGCTGGTTCTCACACGAACACTGTAGCTGCGTCCCAAATCGCATACTTATGCACTATTCTACGCCATTTTGTAGTATAAATAGTGTAAGTAGTGGGTTCACACAGTGAAAACTCTAAAAATAATAAGTGCACTTTAATTACCCGGATGATGCACTCATTCAGCCGTTAAAATGAAGTGTGTAATGATGGACACTTCACGCACTCAACGACCGCAAGTTTGCTTACGTAGCGGAAGGGGCGGAGCTATCGGACGTTGTTGAACATGTTGAATAACTTTATTTATTTTTGATGGTGAAAGCAAAATTCTCCTGCGAGAGTGATTATAGCGCCTCCCGATGGTGAATGCGGTTATACTCACGGCAGGTATTATTTGATAAGTCGGTCGTTTATTTCACTGATTTGGCAACCTTCAAACGTCATCAGGGAAACGGTTTCAATTTCCGCTTAGTAAAAAAACATTAGTGTGCCATTTGGGACGCCACTACATGCATATACTATCCTGTTAAGTGTGTAAGTGCATAAGTACATAGTGCATGAGTGCATAGTGTATAGTGTGCCATTTGGGACGCAGCTCTTGAACTACACTTCCGCCTTCCTAGACATACATGCTCTCCGGTCAAACTCACGCCTGCTCACTCATCAAGATTGATTACACTCTCACCAGCTGAACCTTGTCAGAGACTGATAACACACCATACATAAGCCATTCATTCACCCATCCAGTTTGCCGAGTCTTGTTAGCTGTACCAG